CCCGGTGCTGCGGGGGCTCCGCGCTTCTCCCCGCCCGCGGTCGCGGGGCTCCGCTCCCGCGTTTGGCGCTTGGTGCGAAGGGCTTTTGTGTGGGGGGCACCCGGGCCGCGCCGCGCGGCGCCGCGTGCCCGCAGGGGCGCCCGGTCACCGGCGCCGCCGCCTTCGGGTTCGGTACCCGCCGCGAACGGGAGCTCGCGGGGTGGAAGAACGAATAAACGTCGCTGTCGATTTATTTGTTTTGTATATATATATGCGTTTGACATCTGCTAAATAGTGGCATCGGACCTCCAAGTTGGTGCTGCTCTGAGAGGGCCATTTGGACGAGGTGATGTCCAGAGAGCCCTTGCTGCTCGGCTGCTCTGTCCTGGACTCGCCACTGACATCTGTGGAGGGAAAAGTGAGGGAAGTAGGAGAGGAAGCAGTTGAATCAAGTGCACAAAAATTGCCTTTTTTTTTTTTTTTTTTTTTCTTCAGGGAAGGCAAAGGAATAGGTAATGTCAAACTGAAATAAGAAACACCAAGCATGCTAAAAGCCTTTTTATTTTATTTTTTTTTTTCATTTCAAACATTTAGTGTTGTTAGGTTCTTGTAATGAACCCAGTTGGAGTGACTTATATTCCATTTTCTTTTCTTTAAAAAAAAAAAAAAAAATCACTGCTTTAACCAAAACTCGTTCAACAATGTGTGAAATGAAGAGAGATGGCAACAACTGAGGAGGTTAAGGTTTGCAGTAAACCCCAGCAGTGTCAGGAGGACACTTTTTGTTTCCTGTTGAAATGTTAATGACATTGCTGATGCAACTGTTGTTTTGGGAAATTACTCATGGGATCAAAATTCCATGTAACAGAATGGTGAAYACTAGTGTCATCCTTGAAATAGTATCAGCACTAGTTCTGTTTGCCCTTTTTTTTTCCTAAGCAGCGTCTAACAACAAAATTATTAATTACTGTGTTAAAACTATTAATTAGTAGTATTTAGAGATTAGACCAATGATTTAAGATGATATTGAAACACTTATTGTAGCTACTGATGCAAATGAAACTYGAGTTTAGTGGAGTATGTACTGAGAATGTGTTGTATTCTTCCCCAGTTGCATGCTCAGAGTGTATCTTCATTTGTTGAAACAGGGAGGTGTCTGAATTTATGCTGTCCCTAAACTTTTTGCAAGGGTTTGGTTTCTGCTAAGGTCAATTTTTCAGCCATATGCAACAAAATCGATAACTTCCTTTCAGGAAGGAAAAAGTCCGTCCTTGAGCATTTAAGAGATATGAGGGAAGAGCAGTCCTGTTCTCCCATAGTAATTGGCTATGAATTAGTTCTGGTGACTACCTGTGTTGTGTTTCATGACTGCACAGCTGATAAATAACTTGTATCAGTTTCTATTTGCACTGGGGCTTCTGAAAAGTGACCATAGAACGGGTTGGTGTAGTGGTCTTCCACTCTTTTGGAGCCTTAAAATAGTCATGTCTAGGTGGCTGTTTCTTCTTAAACTGATTGTACTAATTATTCTTTGTCTAAGAATGTTCTCCAAGGAATTCATCGAGAATTCACTGGCTGTTTGAAGGGTCAGTGCTTAGCTATATGTATTGCAAATGAGTATCATCAATTGTTTTGGTGTACGTCATCGTTTTGATGAAGTAGATGGGCATTTCCAAAGTGTACAAATTCCATGTAAGTTTAAGGTAGATGGATATTGCATAACTTTTACTGAAAAATCTTGGAATAAGGTAATAGAAACGATATAAATGTTCAGATTTCAAAGTATTTTACTTGGACATTTTATTTTTAAAAACTGTTCCAAAGAGCAATACAGAATTCTATTTTGAAGTGGAAAGCTGGGAAGTGATGTAAGTGCTAGCAGATCATCTCGGTAGGTCTTATCTGCAAATTATTGTGTGCGTGGTTAACTTTAAGCTTTCCAGAATGTTTGGTCAAGAGCTAATCTCAATTTCACGAGCTAATATATTGTTACAGTGTCAGTGGCACTGAGCGTGTGTTTGCTAGGAGTTTAGGGTGGCTGTGCACCTGTGTTTATAACCAAAGAAAGAAAAATTTCTAAGCTAAAAAAATTCTTTAGCATCTTATATGCTAAAGAAAAATTTCAGTTCACTTGTAGCAAATTTAAGCTCATGTGCTCCTTCAGAGCACAGCTCCTTCAGAGTAAAAACACAGATACCTAATGCTGATTTAAAAAAAAAAAAAAAAAAGCAATCAATTTTGAATCCTTAAAAATGCCTAAAAGCACAGCGCAATTTTACAGTTGCTATAAAATGTTAGGATAGCCAGATTAGTTTTGGTGATTGCACCAATAGTGATCAGTATAGTTTTTAGAAGGCATGCCCTACAAGTTGGTAATGTTTTGTACGTTCATTGTCAAATTAAAGAACTGAAATATAGTCTAAAAGTAAATAACACAACTTTGTTATCAGGAATTTCCCTAGCTGGTAGCACAAGAAGAATAATATAACTGTTTGACTATTATTTTTTGCAATACTAATAATGAGTACTTTTGTACTGTATAGATATTCTGCAATATGTGAAGCTTTATTAATATAAAATCAAATTATTAAAGTTTGGATAAGTTTTGAGGATATATGTGGTAGCATCATGTGGTAGCATTAAATGATGATAATAAAACGTAAAAAAAAAATATTTTACCAATATGCATGCAGGAGCAGAATCTAATGCAGACATTGATAAATGAGCATTTCACAGTGACTACACTTTTTCAAATTTCTGTAAGTAATAAGCCTGTTACTGAAAACAAACAGCAGAAACACATTAACAGTGTTTTACAAAGCCTTAAACTAGGAGGAATTTGACTACCATGTGAGGTTAAATGATCATTCTTATCCCAGCCTGGCAGTTGCTAACCATGGTGTGTGACCATTGAGGAGTAATTGTAACAATTCGCAGGGTTCAGCTGCTTGGATTTGATGTAACGGAAATTCTCAAATTCTTAAGTATCCATTGACATTAAGACATCTAGTATTCAGGACCCCATCTGTAAGTTTCCTAAACTCTGATATTCTGAGAAGCATGAAAAACTTTAACCAGACGTGTCTTGAATTGCTGGGTTAAACTAGTTACCCCAATAACATCAATGTAGAGGCTGAATTACAAAATCTTTGCCCTTACTAGTCTTCTGTTTATGAGAGAATCTTTTAATCAGTCAGAATGCTATTGTAAAGATTATTCTAACTGGTCTATTTGAATGGTCTGCTCCCTGGCCGGCTTCCCCTGCTGTGTTACATCAACCTTAGAGTGCCTGTCACAGCCTCTTCCAAAGCCGCTTCTGTTTGCTTTAGAGGCGAAACTACCACTCCCAAATGGCTGCTTTAGCTTCCCATCACTGTTTTTAAAAGTGTGGTTGTGTGAGCACATGCCCTGTCTTTGTGTCCATTCATGCATCAAATTCCTGTAAACATCTTAAAACACTTGGCTGAGAGGTGGATTTTAAAGCTTAGAGACCTCAGAGGTCTGAATGTACCAGGAACTCGTTTTTGAGGCTGTTTTAGTATTAAGTAAATACTAATTAATTTAGTTGTCAGTTGTTGCTTGTGTGAGTTTGCAAGCTTTTAATGGCCAGGATTCTATTTTTGCTTTTGTTACAGCTTCTGGTTCATGGAGCTTTTAGATGCTTCCTGAAACAAGAATCAAGTAAGGAGAGCTTTTACCCACTGTGTGACTCAGTGGTTTGTCAGAATGGCATAACCTAACCCATTGCATCAATGTTTTAGTCACTGCTAGCCATATGTACGGTTAGCTTGTTCTGTATTTTTTTTTTTGTTTTTGTTTTATGGAATTCCTCTTCCTCCTTAATTTGCATCTCTCGGGGAATGGTTATAAGAAAAGCCACTTTACCTCATTGCTATAAGAGTTGAGTGTCAGGGAGACTGTAATTATGTGGAGACCTATGGCAGTGGTAGCTTCGACACCAGCAGACAGTGCAGCCTCGCTGCTGGTCACTTCCTTTATTGCACAACTSTATTAGTTGTGGGAGTTTCAGTGAATGGGTTTGAGCTGGGCCTGCTTAGAACTTTTTTCATTAATTTTTAAACTAGATTCCATGATCTGGTACAAGAACAGAATTGTGTAAACAACTTGTTCTGGCACAGGGCAAGGAATGAGCAACAGGAAGATGGCAAAGGAAGGTTAAGGGAAAAGCTTGATCACTGTTCTCCAGTGTGAGAGACATATCTGTATAACCTTGGCCTTATCTCTATAACCTTTTTTTTGCTCATTTTTTTTTTTTTAAAGCAAAATAAGAAAGCCTTCTAAAACATGTACTACTGAATATACTTGTCTTCAGTATTGCTGCAAAACTTGCACATACTAGGAATATTTTCCTAGTATGCTCCTAGTAGTTTAGAAGAGCCCAAACCGCTTTACTCGAGTGAAAATAATGCGACTGCTCAGTTAAGTGCTTGACTGTAATTTAACTCCCTGATGCATTGCCTGACAGATATGCCCAACATGAGCACAGTGTTCACAGGGCTGCTTCATTCAGCGGTCTTGTAAATGCCTTGGAATTACTGAGGAGGAGGAGGGGAATTGAACCATGTGACTTCTTTTGCTTAGTGCCTTTGCATGTGCTTTTGAATATCAGATTGTAATTAGAAAATGTGTCTTGTGGGACAGAGCAAAAAATACCCCAGCTCCTGGCGTTGATAGAGATGCAGTAGGGGAGAGGCAGTCTTTTTCACCAGTATGTGAGTAGTGT